GACCGCGAGCGCGATAGAGACGATTACGTAAGCAATAATTATCGGGATTACGAAGATTCTCCTCGTGGAGGAGGCGGTGGCGGGCGTTATAATAATAACAACGGCAACCAAAACAGCAATTCAGTTCAAAACGGTTCTTCGAATAGTAATACAAATAGTTTAGAACGTCGTCTACCCCCTTCTGCTTTACGTCAGTCGGGTGGGGAACGCGGCGGCGGTTACACGGATCATCGCGTCGAACGTTCATCTAATGACAATTCGAACAATAGAGCATTAAATAATCGTTCACCATCAATACGCGCAGGAGATAATGCTTTGGGTGGTGGTCACTCATCTTCAGTACCATCATCGACCGTAAATTCGTCATCATCTTCACGTGGCATTTCACCAAATTCGCCAGCTTTAGCAAACGCAAGTCAGCATCCTACACCGGCTCCAACACCTCCACCATCAGCTGGACGTTGGGTGCCACCATCTTTGCGTCCTCAGCATGGACTTTCACAAGCCGAAAAGAATGATGCAGTTTTCAGAAAGGTATTATTTCTTCATTGCTGACCTCGTATAAAAAGTTCCTTGCTAATGTTCTATTTAATTTTAGGTTCGCGGTATTCTTAATAAATTGACTCCAGAAAAGTTCCAGGAACTTAGCGACGAATTACTCAAACTTGATTTAAATTCAATTGTCATTTTGAACGGTGTTATTTTACTTATTTTCGACAAGGCATTGGATGAGCCTAAGTACTCGTCTATGTACGCACAGTTGTGCAAACGGCTATCAGAAGAAGCTCCATCATTTGAAAAAGATCCAAACGGTTCTTGTACATTCTTAAGACTACTGATCGCAGTCTGTCGTGACAAATTTAACAATCGTCTAAAACGTGACGGCGCCGAAGGAGATTCCCAATTCAATAAGGTACTTCGTCCTCAGCAAGCAGCAGCCGACAATGAAGCCGACGAAGAGGAACGTCGCCACTTGGCCAAACAGCGCATGCTCGGCAATGTCAAATTCATCGGTGAGCTACACAAGTTGGACATGCTCTCCAAGAACGTGCTCCATCAATGCATCATGGAGTTGTTGGATAAGAAAAAGAAGCGCACGGCCTCGAAGGAAGAAATGTGCGAGGACATGGAGTGCCTGGCACAGTTGCTCAAGACGTGCGGCAAGAACTTGGATTCAGAACAGGGCAAAGAGCTGATGAACCAGTACTTTGAGACATTGGAACGTCGCTCAAAATCTACTGACTATCCACCCAGGATACGCTTTATGCTAAAAGACGTCATCGAATTGCGTGAAAACAACTGGATACCTCGCAAGGTGGTCAACACTGAGGGCCCAGTGCCTATCAAGCAAATACGCAGCGATGATGAGCCATTAATACGCACTCCGTTCACTAATCGCAACCGTGATATGCGCAACAATCGTGACGATCGTGATAGTGACAGCTGGATGAATCGCTTGACGATTAATTTACAACCAGGTTTAAATGACATGTTTTCAGGATTGAGTGTTACGGGAGCATCACCAATTATATCACCGTAAGTAGATAATTGCCCTCGACATTTATATTTTCTTCAATCGTTTGAATTTTATTTGTATTTTCCACATTAAAGATTCACCACTCCTGTTGGAAACAACCGATCATACAACAATAGAGATCATCGCAACAACCAAGGTGGCAATGGTAATTACAACAACCGTTATAACAAACACAATAACCAGAATGGTCCAGGCAGTGATCGCGGCCATCGTGAAGATCGCCAACATCAAAGAGGTGGTGATCAATCCGGATCCCAGTTCAATAGTGGTGGCAATCAATTGAATAGCAAGGAATTAGCACCCCGTTTCAAGCGTAATCTCATCTCGACGAATCAAGACTCGGTTGAGAATCTACAAATGAGACCAGCAGCCAATTCATTGCTTTTTAAGGCAGCCTCACAAAATCAGAAACTTCCATCTATGCTGCCGATATCTACACCACCCAATGGAAGCCACAGCAATCTCACTCCATCAACAGGTGGATTTGGTGGGGGATTCAACCAAAATAAGGACTCACAGTTGTCGAATGCTCAATATCCTCTATTGGGTACACCAACATCTCATTTGAGCTCATCGCAACAAAATGCTCGACCATCTTCCACGCCATCAGCCGAAGCAGAACACAAGAACTCACATAACTTGGGCAACGGTGACAAATCCTTGAAAAATACTTCATCCAATCCCAACTTTTCTAGCAATTCCTCCATTAATCAGAGAAACACCGGAGGCTTCGAACACCAGGAGGATGGCAATGATAAGAAATCACTTCTCAATACTCCTCAGGTGCAGCTGGTAACAAAACAGGGATCAACTGAAAAGGCTCCCGGTGCTAATGGATCTGCAAAACCACAGAAGAAGGAAAAGGCTTTCAACAAAGAAGAGGTGCTTAAGAAAACTGCCTCCTACATTAAGGAGAAATTCTTCTACACTGAAACAAAAGACGAAATCAATGAAAGTTCTGAAAATGATGATAACGAAACAACTACCGTCGATAAGCAATTGGCCGATGTAGTTGAAGGATTCTTGGAATTGAAAGTACCAGAGAAATGTATGAAAGACGTATGTATCTGTACCGTTTTAGATGTTTTGGAAAAGGCAGATGAACAATACTTGGATCGCGTTCTAAAGTTCTTGCAAATTCTCAAGAAACAGGTTAATCTTAAACCTAACCTTCTGCTTGAAGTATTTAAACAGGTGGTCAAGAAAATGAATGAACGTGAAGCGCTAAATCCCCGTATAACAACATTTGTCGCCAATTTATTGGCTAAGGCTACTGTGGGAGAGGCATGTCTTTTGAAACTTAATGATATTGCTAACTACACAGATAATGGTCAGCATTATCCATTATTCTTATTGGTGCTCCAACAGTTGCACAAGACCATAGGAAAAGACCAACTAGAGGAAATGTTCCGAGCCAGCAAAGTTGATTTGATGAATTGTTTGCCTGAAGTAGATCGTAATAAAACTCGCTTGGCAGAAATTCTCGACGATCGTTCATTGACATTCCTCTACCCACTGCTTAAAGTTCAGGCTGAAATGAGCAAACAATTAACAACCGATCCAGACCCTACCAATTTCTACAAATGGATCAAGACAAATGTCGATGGCAAATACTATAAGGAAGAAGGTTTTATTAATGCCCTCATGACAGTCGTAGTCAAATATGTTACATCTCAAACCAGCTTCCCCGAAGGAACAGATGTCAAAAATTGTCCCGACAAAGCCACCATACAGAAGGAGGAAAGCTTATTACACAAATACTGCCAAATATTAAAATCCTTCCTGGGACACAGCATCGAATTGCAATTGATTGCCATTTATGCTCTACAAGTATTTTGCGTAAATGAGAATTTCCCTAAAGGTTGGTTTCTACAACAACGAAAGGTTTATAAATTTGTTAACTTTATTATGTATTTTCTTTATTTTAGGTATGCTTTGTCGTTGGTTCAAATATTTGTACGAAGCTGAAGTTATATACGAAGACACATTCATTCATTGGAAAGAGGAAATATCTGACAAGTATCCTGGTAAGGGTACCGCTTTATTCCAGGTTAATAACTGGTTGACTTGGTTGCAAGAAGCTGAATCAGAAGATGATGAAGATTAAACGAATATTTAACAAAAATCATTCAATCCTTCATAAAGCAGCAACCATTATGATAAACAACAATTTAGATTTTAAACAAATTATAACTAACTTTTAAATAATTAAAACACACCATTTCCTTTAGAAATCCAACAGAAAACAATTTCTAGTTCCGATATATATTTCTCCAACAACACAATTAAATTTTCATTTCTTCAATATAAAGAAAAATGGAAACGAAACAATAAAACCTCCCAAACAGACATAAATCAATATCTATATAGAAGCACGTCTGGGCAATATGATAACGTTATTTGCCATATTAAAACCATATTGACTTAAATTCTCAATAGCTATAAACAATTTTCCTCCCTCTTTCCTCAAGATATACTAGTATATATTTTTTTTTAATTTTTAACTTTTTTTATTTAACAATTATTGACAAAATTTAGCAAACACAAAGATTATAGAAATTAATGAGATGTTAAAATAAAACGAAATTCAAACTTACTCTTGAAAACATTAAAAAATGAATTTATTAATTAAAACAAAATATCGAACAAACAAAAAATTCATAATTTCAAATTGTATTCATTAATATAGAGAAACATAAAAATATAAACAAAAACTATAAAAAAATAAAGCGAAAATAACAGCCAAACGCAGTTATAATATTGTTTTATTTCGAGATAAGGTTTAAAATTTTATGTTCGAATCTTGGGCGAGTTCGTGCAATGTAATGCTTTCTTGTAATTTAGTTTAGATAAAAATTAGCAAATGAAAGCTGAGAATTTCTGCTTTAAAGTAATAAAGTTTAAAGTTTTTTTTAGTTTAAATTAGTCGCAAAAAAGTAGTCAGAATTTTGGTTATGAAAAATAAATATTTTAAATTATGATGGTTGATATTGTTTGTCCAATTGAGTTAAAGAAATTATGAAGAATGTATAGATTCACAGCTTTCATTTGATTTAGGTGAGGGTTGTGATAGAATCATTGTCGGAATAGGTTTTGAAAAAAAACATTGATCTTATGTAATCGCTCTTTTGTTCAATGAAAAATCGAATTATAGATCAAACCTAAATTGAATTTCATTGCTTTTGTCGTTTTAAAATCTAATCGCGAAAATGATTTGGATTTTTTTCTTTTGAAATTGTATGGTTAGCGTATCCCAAGTTGGTTTAAAGGAATCCTCCAAGTCTACCTATATCTATAGGTTGCAGGAAACCATTAAATACTTAAGTAAAATTTGAGTTTTTATTTTGATTCCGACTGGCTAATTGCATGAATACATTATTTCTTTAAGTGTATTTCTTCCATAAAATACAACTCTACATTACATTTGTAGCACTAAATTCAGCGCTGTGAGAATATGAGTAATCATTTACCTATGACAACAATCAATTAAACTTTTAATACCTACATTTTCTAAATGTAAAAAGCGAACTGAAACCCAAAGTATAACATAAAATATATTTAAAATACTCCATTTAACAAATTTATATTTTATTGACAATTGAAATACATAATTTCACTATAGATATGTTTGTATAAACAAAGGTCTTTGTAACGAGTTGTCTGCTTTTCTAGAATGACTTGACAAATGATTTCTGTCACTAGTAATTCATATTTTAAACAAAACGTAAACAAACAAAACAATGGAATCAACAGCTATTAATACACAACAAAGTGGGGAATCGAAATTAAATACAACTGGCTATGAAGGATTTACCTCCAGCCGAGGTCAGCTCCTGGTGGGCGAACAAAAATACATTATACGCATATTAAAAATGAATGGTTCTACAATGGTTTTCTTGAGCTCAGCCGAACCGGAATGTTTAGATGAAATAGCGTTGGCTATGAAAATGCCACAAGATAATAAAATCGTTGGCACATATATTTTGGGACCTCAAATTATAACAGACTCCCAGCGTATGGCTGAGAAGTTGTGTAAACGTTTTGGAAGACATTTTATTGTCAGCTACAACGTAAATGTGGATCGAATGACAGCACCTTTGCTGGAAAAACAGCTGAGTGAATATATACGGGCACATGAAGATCAATTTGTTTAGCTTACGGAAATATTTCTCTAAATGATAAGCTTATTTTTATAAAATAAAAAAAAAAAAAACTTGTGAAGATAAGTTCTTTTTAAATGAAATTTTACTTAATTAAACAAATCTTACACCGACTCACTTTAAGGAAGAACTCAAAAGTTTATTTTAATCCCTTAAAATATACTTTGTTTTGTTTTAAAACGATATTGTATTTCGTATTGAAAATTAATTAAATGATAATGACTGTATGTCGTTCTACTTTGGCTAATGATGTTCATAGTTATTTAATCAATGATTTTTGTTCGAATTTGTCACCATCGGATATAATTCTAAAGAAGGCTTAGAAAACATAAAGAACTTCATTAGAACTGTTCTGGAACTAGTTCAATTTTTTAATGCATTTCTCTATCAAGCGGCTTTATTTATACTGATAGTCAAGTTGCTATTAAGTCCCTGATTGGTGTTTTCTCAACATGAATGCCGGACGTCTCTAAACGAGATGGCGAGACATTCGAACATTACCCTTTTATGGGTCAAAGGACTCGGCACTATATATGGCCATATGGGGTTCCACTGTCTGTCATAAAAAGGCCTATTATTGAATATTGCCACGTCAATGCTCAATTCGCTGGTCGGGGGAGTATACTTGCTCGATCTCTCGAACGTTGTGGTCCAACATGGATCCATATAGAACAGCCTATTTTTTTAGTCTTCAAAAACCTCAGTTAGGTAATATGATATCGGTCATAACTAGACACTGCAAATTTGGCAACCATGCAAGGAGCATTGGTTTACCGTACAACGACTTCTGTAGAAATTGTCATAATGAGGATGAAGAGGAGACGGTAGTCCATCTTCTCTGTCACTGTCCAGCTTTGGAAACGGCCCATTTTCGAACCTTAGGGCCAACTTCTTTCTGCTATCCCTATTCTTCTCTTCTACTTCAAATTACAAAGGGATCATTATCGGACCCAAGTGAAGCTGTAATTTCGGATGTTCGATGCAGCCATCTGTCAAACCTAAACTAATCAAGGGGCTAAAAGTCATCATTAATTACATGTATGCTAAGCCAGATATTGCGGGTTAAAGGTTAGAAAAATCAGTTTTTTACAAATAGCATATTGCTATTCCTAGGACTTCAGAAGCTACGGCATTTCTGTTGATAATTAAAATTCCTACATTTTAAAATTTGCGATAATTTGTCCATTATTAAATATGTATGTATGCTTATGTTCTGTTATACGTTTACTATACAATATGACCCATAGTTACTCTATGACCTATAGTCAGGTCATGATTATAAATTACATTTAAAAGAATTAAAGGATTATATTCACTAAATCTTTTCAAATTATGTGTATTCATAATTAGGAAAATTTGTTTGGAGGCTTTATGAAATTTTTAGCCTATTCTGTTAAGTTTCAAACGAGTTAATCTCTGGATGGAAAAGTCTTAAGACAATACTATAAAAAACACGTAAAATTTTCACTGGATGTTTCTGTTTTAAATAGGAAATTTCGCGAAAGCATGTCTGATAAAATTATTGATGATTGTTGCATCCCAAAGATATCTGGGGTCTTCAGAAAATTTATTTCAACAAACTTACATACAGATATACAGACCGACGTACATTAGGGTGTCCCGTGGACCACTTTTTTGGATGAATACCTCTCAAACGATGCGTCTTAATGTACTACATACGAGAAAAATAAAAAACAATTTTTTGGAAAAGGTCCTCAGTTCCCTATTGATTGAAAATCTTGATCTCAGTACAATATGTTCAATTTTATGCAATCTTTTCGAAATGGCTGTCAAAAATTCCGTAATTTTGAGCTTATCGCGGAAAAAATAATTAAAAATTGTCTTAGTGTATTTGTGGACCTCAAAATGACTTTTAGTGTATTACAAGGGGCATAATATTTAAAAAAAAGAAATAAAAAAATCTGAAATGGACTATACCAAATGCCAAACAGTTTTTTAAACATTTTTCTGTATAAGCTAAAAATTAGGACAATTGACACCTATTTCGAAAAGAAACTAAAATAATATGCCTCTCCAATTCACTAAAAATCATTTTATGGACCAAAAATACTATACAAACATTTAAAGATTATTTTCCCGTAATCAGCAGAGAATTACGGAAGTTTTGAGACCCATTTTGAAAAAATCGAAGTCATTTTATTTTTCTAAAATTATACTGAGGTCAGGATTTTCAATCGCTGATATTCAACTGAGGACCATTCGAAAAAACTATTTTTTATTTTTCATCGATTGATAGGTATTCATTTCTACATGAAATTCTTAAAAAAGCTGTTTCTCGGGACACTCTAACGTACTTATCGCACACCTAGTTCAAAAGTGACACAACTCAAAATTTTATTTTTGCGTTTTTATATTCTTTAAGCCTTGTTTAATTCTACAAAAATATTAGTGTATTTTGTTGCTATTAACTGTTCAAGAAAAAAACGTTATGTCTTTCTATATCTTTCAGAATTTGTAAAAAATTTGTTTCCTTTTCTTTAAAAAAAAATTGAGTTGTGTCACTTTTGTACTGGGTGTGCGATATGTTGCTTAATCGACACTTCTCACGAAGGGTATAAGAAGCATTCAGAAATTTCCATTGTCTATTACTATTGTCTAATTGGCAATATTTTCTTCTAGAAACAATATAAGGGCAATACATTTTTAAAATATATTAGATTTATAATGATTTCCACATCTGCATTTCGATCTGATAATTTTTAAATCTTGGGTCTTCATATCACTTTAAAATTTAAATATGTATCTTAAAACTTTCCTTACAAATGAATTTTAATTGTATTTGATTGAATATTTTCTTCTGTTATACGCTTTCAATGAAATATACCTTGTACTAAGCAACTCATAATGAAATCATTCAATTTATCATAAAATATTCGTTCTTCTAGATTAATCTTTTTTACTTCTGTTTACATTGTAACATGTTCTATAATGCGATAGAGTTAAAATATTGCATGATGCACACAAATTTATTAAAATAAACATGACACCGTGGAGGGTCAACTATTGATCAAACCAAGTGATGCTTGCGTATGTTCGCTGATGCTGTTTGAAAGTGTGTTGTACACTTTAGGCGTTGCATCTCTTATTTTAAAATATACAATTTTGTCTTTCTAAATAGATCACACTAATGATGAAGGTGGACCCCACGGACCTTTACACCGGCTCCACTACATGGCACTTGCCTTTGGCGCACTAGTAATAATGAGCATTACCAGTGGTGATGATCGTTTTGAAACAAACACATCACGTGTTTACAAATTACTCGCGAAATAACTGCATTCTAGTTTAGTTGTAAATTTTTACATTTTTAATTAAAAAGTAATTAAGAAGAAAAGAAAAATAATATAAAGCAGTTGTCTAGTGTTTGTGGTATGTTTCTTATAAGAAAATACATTCTTTTACAAACAATAAAAATACATTTAACTGTTATATCATAGTTGAACAATAATAAGTAATAAATTATTACATAAAAATGACACGAAAAATATTAACTTCTTTTTATATCTTGTACATACTATATGACGTCAATATTATCTCATTGTTTTGGTGTCTGGACGTCTGGTATCTAAGTTTGATCAAATAAAATTGCAAAGCAACATAAAGATAACAGACATGTGTTTATTTCAACAGCCAATAAATTGTTGTGGCCCCATTAAAAAAACCGGAAAGTTATAAATTAAAAACAAATAAAGTTTAAATATAAAATAAATAAAAAAAAAACATAACATTTGGATGATCAGCAAAACTAACTAGAATTTTTAAATTATTAAAGATTACTTTGGATTAAGACGTGATGAACAAATTGTATTTACTTATGTAAACATGAGTAAAGCAGTTGGTAGTTTGGTCATGATTTGTAAAATGAAAGGATATGAACCTACGATCTCGTATTTGTTAGTCCGCTATCACACTACTGGGTTTCACAGAAATAGTCTCTATTTTTGTAAAAAAAAAAAAACATTTTCTACTTAGTAATGCAGATGTTATGAAAAACTTTAAAAAAAATTCAAAACCTAGAACGAACCATAAGTAGAACATTAGGTAAATAATACCCTTTATTATACATATGTATGTGACATTGCGGTAGTCAAAGTCTTTGTCGTACTCGGTTTTAATTCGTATCAATTTTGGTATCATCTTAGCACACAGAAGAAAAAGAAAAACATTATCTATAGTTAACTTCATAAACTATCAACGGAATTTCGAATACACAAGATGACCCGCACATGCGTGCGTGTATACCTACTACTGTATATACAATAATAAGTATCAATATTAATTAATATCGTCCTTGTTAGAGATAAGATGTTTTTTACTTTTACTTTTTTTTTCTTTGGTCATGCGCCAAATTTAAACAACAAAAATAACGTTTAACGTCTAGACGAGATATTGTCAAACATTAAGCAAATAAATAATCTAATATAAGCTTTCTGTTTTTTTTTATTATTTTTCGGAATAAATTCTAAATACATAACACAATAATAACAATATTTAACTCTCCCCCTCCCCCCTGCCCTCTATCACCCACACACTTGTCGACACAATTAGGAATTTGAAGTAATTAAAGAAACGTGATGATGAAGTTGGTGGGGTGACGTTTTTTTTATAGAGTGTAAGAGTACTTTTCCAAAATATTGTAGTTATTTTTATTTTTTTGGAAAATTACCCACAAGTTCATTGAGAACTAATAAAAATAGTTAACCTAAATGGACTTTGTACGTCTGCTGAAACTTGTGCCATGGAAGGTTTTTCTTTCATTGCGTTAAATGCAGCAACAAACACACACACGCCAAAAATAAAATATATAAAAAAAATAATAACAATAATAGCAAGAACAAAAAGGAAATAAGTACAAAGTCTGGTCATCATTATTATTATTATTATTTTTATAATTATGTATGTATATAAATATGTATACATAATATTCATACATACATACATACATCCATACATATGTATGTATTTTTTGAATATATTGTATGCATAAAAACAGATAACACCCACAGAGAAATAGTATTGAGTTTATATGTCTGGCCTCCAGGCTTGTTTTCTTTTTAAATAA